AGGTACCAGTACCGCCATCCTTGCCTCGCTCCCGCCTCTCTGTGCCTCCCGGAAGGCCCTCGTCGTCGCCGCTGGGCTCGTCTCGAAATGCAGAGGCGCGGGGGGTCGCGGTAGGGGTATCTCTTGCTTCCCCAAGATGGGATCGAAGTAGATGGGGTCGGAGGATAGCGCCGCGTCGCAGATGCATCGGCGATGCGGCTCGGTCTGAAGCTTGCTCTTTCCCCAGCTGACGGCGCCGATGCATCGCCCACTTTGCCGGTGCCTCAGCGATGTGGCGCGATTTTCTAGCCCCATCTGCTCGGGCCCCATCTGGGAGGCCTCTACAGGTTGGCTCAGCCATTCTGGTGGGACAGCGACCCTCGGACTGGACTCGTCCAGCAGGGTGGGGGGCCCTCCCGCTGGCGCTGGCGGATGTGGTTCTGCTGCGCTCGCCCGGAGAGGGGCAGAGATCCCCAGGGCGGAGGGCCGAGTTTCAATCCAGCATGATGACGAAGGTTTCTTGCAGACATCAGATCCAGACAGGGCCGCTGAGTCGTCCATTGAAGACACCCAATCTCGGGAGGAACATCCGATTGAGGAACATCCGATTCACTTGCTTGTGCCTACCTCTCTGCGTCGGATGGGGAGCTCGTTCGGGAGAAGTCTCTTTGACGCGAACGACGGAGGAGATAACCACGATGGCTTGCTCGCAAAAGTCAGCGAAAGATCGAAAGCATTGTCGGAGAGCCTGGGCCTCCGCACGCGGTGGCTGAATGAGGAGCCGCCGCGCTCGGGGCGGCTCGCCAGCTTCGTGGATGGCCCCGTGTTCAAGCTGTTTTTCGGGGCTGTGGTGCTCGTCAACATCTGGTTCATTATCCAAGATGCGAATGTTAGGATCAGAAGCCCAGCCGATCACAGCATGCCGGCTGCCAATTCGGTGTTCTTGGTGCTCTACGTGCTCGAGGCAGTTCTCAAGCTCGCCGTGCACAGGCTCTGGTTTTTCATCGGAGACGATTGGAAGGTCAATCTGCTCGACATGACGGTGGTCATCTCCGATGGTGCCACTCTGGTGTTGGGCACTACGTTCACGCTACGCTTTCTCCCGCTCGTAAAGGTGGTTAAGCTGCTCGAGTTGATGCACCACTCAACACACCTTCAAGCCTTCATTGTTTGCATCCATGGCTCATTTCGCAACTTCATGTGGAGTGTGGTGATGCTTTTCTCAGTGTACGGGGTATTCTCACTTTTATTTATGCAGATCATCACCAGTCACATCGACGCAATAGGAGAAACTCTGGATGATACCACATTTGGCGAGCATTTCGGCTCGGTCGGAGGTTCAATCACGACGCTTTTTATGGCAACAACGGGTGGCGAGGACTGGGCTATTGCGTACACGACGATTAAGGAAACAGGTGCGATTGGGAGTTTCTTATTCTTAGCATTCGTTGTGTTTGTGAATTTGAATCTGCTGAATATCATCCTTGGCATATTTGTAGACTCGGCGATGAAGGTTCTTTCACCAGATCCAGTGAAGCTTGCCCACGAATACATTAGCCGGGATCAAAAGTATGCCATGGAGCTCGTAGACCTCTGTCAAAATTTGGACCCCGAAGGCTTGGGGAGGCTGACACACTTGACACAAGAGCAGTTCGAGTTGGGCTTAAGCCAGAAGCGTATCCCACACTTGCTCGCTATGCTGGATTTGAAGAAGCACAACATCAGAAGGATATTCAGCGCAATGGCAGCACACGACGGGCAGGTTGAGATCACTCAATTTGTAGAAATATGCATGCTGCTCAAGGGGGCCAGCACCACTTTCGATTTGCATCAGCTGCGTGTGAATTGCGACATTCGTCACTCAGAGATCAGGAGAAAGCTCTCAAAGATCATCCAGATGCTACTTGACATCACTGCGACAGGTGGGCGTCAGTATAGCCACTCCTCGCTGCCCGCGCCGTCTTCGGTCAGCCACCTGCGACCGTAGCGTGGTCAGATTCTCGGACTGATTGACTTCGGCATGCCGCGCCCTTCTGGGTCGCGCTCGGCGCACTGTAGTCTCACCGCATTTTGCGTTTCTGCCCTTGCCTCCCCCCCTCCCCCCTTCCGCTGCGGCTGCCTCTTTTGTGCATGACTCGGGTGAGTCGGGCACGCAGCCTGATACTTGCCGGCCTATGCGTTCCTCCTCCCCCTCCTCCTCCTCCTCCTCCTCGCAGAGGAAACACGGAGGACAGCGGAAGAGACGGGATCATGCTATCGTCAGCTTTTTGATCTCACACAAACTGGTGGACGACACAAGGGCATCCGACGACACCGGTTGCCGATGGTCGCTACAGCTTGCTTGCGACACTTCTGCGTGGCACAGATTGGAGGGACAATTTATCACGCATGCGACGGCTTCTTTATGAACATCTCCGGCACCACGGTGTAAGGGCCCCGGCCTGCCCGCGCCGACCCTCAAGGGTCCCGCTCCGGCGGACTTGCGCGCTTCGCTTCGCTTCGCTTCGTTATTGTCGTCACCATCACCACCACCATCACCCATCATCACAACCATACGCAATCTGTTCATCGCACTCATGCTTGTCCTCCTCGTCCTCACCCGGCTCCTCCATTCCATTCCATTCCATTCCATTCCATTCCATTCCATTCCATTCCATTCCATTCCATTCCATTCCATTCCATTCCATTCCATTCCATTCCATTCCATTCCATTCCATTCCATTCCATTCCATTCCATTCCATTCCATTCCATTCCATTCCATTCCATTCCATTCCATTCCATTCCATTCCATTCCATTCCATTCCATTCCATTCCATTCCATTCCATTCCATTCCATTCCATTCATCCATCCCATCCCATCCCATCCCATCCCATCCATCATCATCATCATCATCATCATCATCATCATCATCATCATCATCATCATCATCATCATCATCATCATCATCATCATCATCATCATCATCATCATCATCATCATCATCATCATCATCATCATCATCATCATCATCATCATCATCATCATCATCATCATCATCATCATCATCATCATCATCATCATCATCATCGTCATCATCATCATCATCATCATCATCATCATCGTTGCCACTTTCATGCACGTGTCACCACCATCATCACCACTACCATCTTCATCACCACCGCCAACACCATCGTCGCCACCAGCATACACGTCACCACCATCATCACTACCATCTTCCTCATCACCTTCGCTATCGTCGTCACCATCACCATCACCATCACCCGACATCACAACCATACGATATATGCTCATCGTCACCATCACAATCACTTATCATCACAACCATACGCTATATGCTCATCGCCATCTTCGCGCGCGTCTTTACCATCACTGTCACTACCATCATCATCATCATCATCATCAGCCTCGTCATCGTCGTCACCATCACCGTCATCACCACCTTCACCCATCATCAACGCCGTGGCCTACATCATCCTCATCGCCATCATCCTCGTCCTCCTCGTCCTCACCCAGCTCCTCCATTGCCCCCGTCCCCCTCCTCGATCAGATTCGTTCATACACATTTTCCCGTCCTCCCTCCTCGCTCTCCTCCTCCCCCCGTGTTGCCTCCTCCCCCTAGCAGGATGTTCGCAGGAATCCACAGAAGGGTAGCGGAGTCAACTCAGGAAGGGGAAGGAGTTAATTCAGCGGGGATTCTGCTTCAACTCCGGAAGGGGACGGGCTGGAGGAGAGCGTCACTTGCAGGATATGGGGGGGCTGGGCTAATTCAGGAAGGGGGGGGAGTTAATTCTTGACGCTTCGCGTATCCCCACCAGCAAATTGTTTTCGCCGCCTGACCCTTGTCTCGCGGCCGCGACCAAAAAAAGTATCCCCACCAGCCCATCCAGCAGCGATGTCCAGGCGAGTTGAGGTGTTGTTGTGAGAGGTTCTAGGAGGTCTCTTGTAGCCATCTTGGGGCTCTCTTGGGGTCCTGTTGGGGTCCTCTTGGGGTGCTCTTGGGGCCCTCTTGGGGCTCTCTTGGGGCCCTCTTGGAGCTCTTTTGGGGCAATCTTGGGGCCCGCCTGGGGCTCTTTGGGGGGTCAGAGAGGTCTCTTGCATGGTTCTCGCACCATTGTGGTCTCCATACTCCTCCTCCTGCCTCCTCGCTTCTCTCCTGGCCGCTGGCGCAGCAGCTCCTCGCCCAGCCATCCCTCTTCTGTGGAGTCAGCGCGCCAGTCTTCCAGGCGGGATGGAAGGCGCGTGGTGTTACAGGGCTTCCCAGCACCAGGACGCTCGGCCCGCAGTGCGCTCAATAGCAGAAACCCATGTTTTCGAGAGCGGAGTATGTCTGCACACCGCGAAGAGCAGGTCTGTACATAAGCTCAGTGCTCTTCCCTCCGAGGCGGGATTTGTACATGACCGCCGCATCGGGGACCCCGGCAGGCGGTGGACATGGACATGTTCAGGCTCCCGGGGGCCAAAACGTGTCCATCTCCACCGCCCGCTGGGGCACCAGGACGTTGCGCCCCAGGCGGTGGATCTGGATGAACCCCCGCCTCGCATTCTTGCCACAGATCCAGCGCCGCCGGGCCGCTCCACGCTGCCACGTTTGGCAGCGCCCTGCCGCCTCGGCGGCGACGGGCCGCCTCGCCGCCGGGCCGCGTCGCGGCAGACCTTGTGTGGTCGACGGCGGAGCCGTGGCCTCTCTCGTGTCTGCCGCGGCGCGGCGGCGTCCGGGGCCTCGGGCTCGGCGGCGGAGCACAGTGGCGGAAGCCGGGCGAGGGCCAGCATTAAGTCGGGCATGTTTTCTATGGGAGGCATCTGCAAAAATCGTGGAACCAATGGTCTGGGGACGATATGTTTGATTATTGTTGGTCCTGTTGGTGTGTTTTTAGAATTCTTTCGCTCAAAATCCGCCTGTAGGGGGATATGCCTGACCTAAGGCTGGCAAAGACGTGGCTGCCAAAAGGGTCTCCCCGGAAGATCAAAACAAGTGCCCAGAATACAATTCAGCGCGCTAAAACAAACAGGCTGCCTCCCAGAAGAAGAAGAAGAAGAAGAAGTAGAAGCAGCCACGGGTTTGCCAGCCTTCGCCTGGCGTCTGCATGATACTGGCCCCTCAGTGTCTCAGCATGTCTCAGGGCGCTTGGGCGAGGAGACGCCGGCTGAAATGGGGCTCGGGCGCGGCGTACCTGCTACACAAGAAAATGGCGGACTCACAGCACGATGCTTGCCCAAGGGGACCTCCAAGAGGACCCCGAGAAGCAAACATATGTTCTCTCGTTCAGGCAATCTTTCTTTGTTGGCCAGATTCGTTCCTGAAGTGAACGATGTCTACGACAACCCAAGAGACCCCCAAGACGGCCCGAGAGGTCCTCAAGGCAGCCCCAAGTCAGCTTATGAGGGCTGTAAGACGGCTCAAGAAGTTCGCGAGACAGCCCAAGAGAGACCCAGGAGCGGCCCGAGAGAGGGAAACCGGGCTCGAATTTCGAGCTTCCCGCCCCCCACAGGAGCCCCGAGGCCGCCGACAGGTTCCGAAGAAACTCCCATGGCCAATGGAGGGCCCAAAGAGGCCCCAAATATCAAGTCGGGCGTGTCTCTCGACAGGGGGAATATTCAAAACTAGTCAAAACACAGTCAGTGGACGATGTTTTGATAATTCTGTGTGTCTGTGTGGCTATTTGGGGGTATGTGCTGACTTTTTTTAATTTGCCCAGAATCCCCCTGTAGGGGGACATGCCCGACCTAAGGCTTCAGAGGTCCCTCTGAGACGCTCCCGAAAAGGGTTTTGGGCCCTCTCCTCAACTGAGCTCCCTGCGAATGCCGACCGTGCGCCGCAAGAGCCCCCACGACGCCCCTGGAGGCGCGGAGGGCCCGCCCCGCAGGCTCCAAGAGACCCCGGCATGCTTCAGAACGCCAGCGGGCCACCGTTTTTTGACGCGTGGTTCCAAATAGCCCTGCGCTCTCACACAGACACACACACACCACACACACACACGCACGCACGCACGCACACACACACACACACATCCGTAACCATTTTGGCTCAAGGCAATGCGTCTCCCGACGACCGCGAGTCCGAGAGGGCGTTTCGAGCGCGAGGGGTCGCGCTTGGAGCCAGACTCTCGAACAATTATTGTTCTCAGGGCCGCCCTGGCCACCGTCTTCTTTTGGGCTACTGCACAGAGTGGCGCCCACACTCGGTTCGTTGCAGTAACAGAAGTGCGATGGTGCCCTCGCCTGCGGTTCGTCGCGACCAGCAGCGCTCCAAGTGGTGCTGCCGATTCTGTACGGGACGTGATGGTAAACCATTCGTCAGTTACCATGATAAGTTGGCCTGTCATAGCTGCTCAGTCTCCAAGAGTGCAGCTTTCCTGTCCAAGCCCGTGCCGAAGCAGCCTTCGACAAGCTTGGCCAGCCGCACCAAGAGCCAGCAGCCTGGGGCCATGGCCAAACAACTACTCGCAATGGAGAAGCGTGTGGCAGGGCTCACAGCAGAGCTCAAGCAGGCACGTGCCCAGCCGTTGGCCCAGGATGTCGACGCAGGCGCCATGGAAGTCGAAGTGGTCACGGAGTCCAAGAAGCGAGCTGCTGAGCTCGATGGCCTCATCCAGTCGCTCGCTAAAGTCCGTCCTGCCACGCCCGAGATCGACCTGGTCCTTCAACGGTACAGGGATGAGCGCGAGGCGCTCCGTGGCACTATCTTCCAGGCCAAGCCAGATGGTATCAAGTCCAAGGAAATTGGTCAGCGCATCACTAAGTTCGAGTCTCAGTTGCAGCGCTGGCAGTCCTCCCAGGATGAGAAGCGTCAGAAGATCGCCGAGCTCCAGCAAGGACTCGAATATCGAGGGAAGCAGATCCAAGCCTCGCGTACCACCCTCAGCGAGCTCCAGGCGGAGCGAACCAAGATCTGCGATGCCGCTGCCACTCTTGCACCCCCACCTGGGCCTCCTGCCACTGGTGGTGCTGTTGATGATCGGTGGAGTCTCACGAAGATGGCCCAAGTCCTGGAACAGATGGGCTTGGCAACTGGCCTTCAGGAGAAGGCGCAGGGAGTGGTGCAAGAGATCAAGGCGGAGGTCACCAAGATCCAGGAGGTCAAGCGCCTCCAAGCTGCGCAGGAGCAGCAAGAGCGTGACGCTCGGAAGGCTGCAGAGGATGCTGCCGCCGCTCAGGCAGCCCAGCAGCGCGCTGCACAGCGGCCTCAGACGACGAGGCGATCAACTCAGCTACTTCCGAGGAGCTGCGAGAGTACCTCAAGGCGTGCGGCATGGAGGTGCTGGCAGGTGGCTCTGATGATGATGCCGAGCTTCGCGCTGCTGTCAAGCGCATGCACACCGTGCCCTCTTGGCAGGAGGCTAAGCGCCTCAAGTCGCAGTGATCTGGCCGACGTCATGATGATGCCTTTTCCAGAAGCTAAGCCTGCTGAGGGCCAGCTCAGTGTTACGGCAGCAGAGTTTGTGCCGAACTCCTCCTGCCATCTACCTGCCCCTGTGCATGCCGTGCCAGACCTGACGTCTTGTCGTGAGCGCCCATGCTC